AAGAAGAAGAAAAATCAATCATCACCACCACCACCACCATTATCATCGTCATCATCATCATGTTGGTGAGAGGGGGACAAAACCGCGACCAAACAAAGAAAACTGTGAAAATTAAAGCCCTTGATCATGCATTCTGAGGATCCTGAGACAATTTTACATTCGCAAAGGAAAATAATGGGAAGTTATTTATACATAGTATCCCTCACACCTGCTATCAGTGCGTCACGCAGCGCACCGCTTTCTCCCCTGGGTACCTGGGTAACGCTCAGGGGAGAAAGCGTTGCGTGACGACACTGATAGCAGCTGAGAACGAGACTAATTTCTACATCGTTTCAGAGCGCTTGCTTTACATTTATGGCCAGTGAAGGACTTTACGGACTGAATATCAAGGCGCTACTAGCAGCCTTGCTGCTTACAATCTTGAGTGAGTAATTAGTAGATTAGTACTATGCCTCGAAATTAGGAAAAATTGAAGAAACAAAATCAAACAAGGCTTTTCTGATTTAAAATTGAATTTTATTAGAAAAAATGACATCAAATATTCATTGTCAAGAGATACGAAAAAAACAACAACAAATCACGAAGACAAGCCAGACAAACAAGAAACGCCTGACAAACAGATTTCTACTGGGATTCCTGTGGTACTTGACGTCCAGTCCTACTCGGTTCTGGTCAAGGCGCCGGCTCCACCTCCGAATCCGTATCCTTTGGGTCCAAATCGCTTTCCGTGGCAGGATCTACAATAGACTTCCCCTGAAATTACACAAGAGAAAACTATCATGAGCGGAGGACTAGGTACAGGTTAGAGTCTGACGTCATTTCCGGTCTGGTATGGAATGTTCATCAGCTGAATCACAAGTTTTCGATAGACCGTTTTCTCAAGGTTGCGTGCGCATCCAACTTGACCGCGGGACAAAAAACTGAGAAAACGTAAATTCAGTAAAATTGAGAAGACAGTTTTATGTTCAAAAGGAGAATAATCGATTTTATGAATTCTTATCGAAAAAAAAAATTCATAGGAATGTATGATAATTCTCATTATAAAGCTCCTGTTCTGGTATCGTGGCCGTGAAGTTCCATAAATTCGGTCAGCCGGTCAATTAGTCTCCCCYACAGCCGCTTTGAGTGTCGTCACGCAACGCGTTGCGTGACGACACTGAAAGCGGCTGTGGGGGAGACTACCGGTCAATCGGCCGGTCAGCCACTAACCAGCTAAATACTAACCAGCGTGTGAAGCGCATGTTGTGCTATCCAATTTCTTCCTACAGTCTGGACAAGCAAAGCATCTCTTGTGCCAGTTCTGTCCTTCCATTACGATTGACTCAGCGTGGTATGCCTTGTCTCCACATCGTGGACAAACGTCTTTTGGGCGGTCAGACATTTTGTTGCAAAAACCTTAAAAAAAAAAGAATGAGTTATTTAAGAAATTTTAAAGTAACCTATTTTTCAGTGAGTTAAGAAAGAAAGAAAGAAAGAAAGAAAGAAAGAAAGAAAGAAAGAAAGAAAGAAAGAAAGAAAGAAAGAAAGAAAGAAAGAAAGAAAGA